GCACGATGAGGTCCATGGGGGCGGTGTGGGCCCCAGGCCTTGTCTCTCCTGGCCACGTCCCCTTAGCACCGCTGCATGTGCCCGGGCGGGGAGGCTGCCAGCAGAGGTCACATGGGAGCTCCTGGGAGGGACCGGCAGACACCGTGGATGTCTCCGGGCAAGAAGTGTGATCGGAAGCCACGAGGACACCCTAAAGGAGGTGTACCCCTAACGACACTCAGGGAAGTCTCCGCCTCTGCATGAGCTGGGAGGGGTAGGCAGGTGAGGGGGCTGTGGGCCCCCCAGTCAGGACCCAGATTAAATTACTGCTGCTTTGTTAGGATGGAGCCTCTGAAAGAAACTCAAACGGGTTTTAAAATAAGGTGAGGCGCACTGAGCTGAGACACCGTGACTTCGGGGCTGACAGTACATGCGCTGGAAATTCTAGAAGGACACGCGAGGGGCCGCTGCAAGCCACTGCTTTTGGAGATGCCACCCGGCCGAGTCGGAAGGGGCACGGGGCAGGGGGGTGCTGCTGGTCTTACGCAGTTTACTAGGAGCACTAATATTTGTATAGTAAAATAAATCTCACCTGTAGAAAAATCTCAAAATTAAAAGTGTGCATGCAAATATTCGCCAGCATGTCTCACTGTGCGCTACGGGCTGCCGACGGGCCCAGTCCCCAGAGTGTCAGGGCAGACTCGATGCGGCTGTCGTTATTTGCCCATCTTTTTTTTTGTTGTTGTTTTTTCAATGAGGAGTCTGACACACAGTTTAAATAACTCCCCGAAGTTACACAGCTAACCGGGGGTGGCGGTGGGGCCGGGGGGGAGAGCTGTATTCTTAACTGTTACACTGTGGTTAGTTAAAATCATGCAATAGCAAAACCCAGAAAGTTAAAACATATGTATATATTTTCTGATAATATAATTAGTGAATAACTATGTTTTAAGTCAAATAATTACTCATGTACGTGACGATCACCTTCACTGATGGTTTTATTTGATCTCCAACTACCAGCTTAATGTAGCACTCTGGGAATTTCAATATCCATATGTCTTCTTTTGAAACATAATGTTCTCTCAATTTTTCAAAGCCTCAAATCTTATATTCTCTATTTTAATTATCTTTGTAATTTTGGATTTTTTTTTTTTTTTTCCGAAAGATCATATACGGCCTTAAACTGGCACTGTCTCAGGGACTGACGGCCATCCAGGTCCCCGTGACACCTGGCTTTGCAGCCAGAGATGTGCAGACTGTGAAGAGCACTCAGTGGAGTCCGGGTAATTACAGTCAATGCCATGGTCTTTCAGGCTGAAACACGACACCTGGAGGGACAATGACGCTGCAGCTGAGAGTCATCGGTTCCTACCAACCTCAA